CTGACTTTCATAAAAGTCAGGGAGACACTACACTGTTTCTCCCTCTCTTAACCACTGTCAATTCTGCTTCAAGAGGATTGAAATGTTCCTCATCGATAATACGAATGGAATATATTTCCACCAGTCCTGTAAAATCTGTGGCACCCTTCCTCTGACCATATGAACCTATTGTCTCAGGGCAACATAGGTAATCACAGTAGATTCTTTATTGTTTAGGTTCCGTCATGAGTCTAGGAAGCCCGGTGAAATCTTCTATTGATTGCTGTTTGCTAGTTGGTCAACAACAGTTTGTATCTGGACCAGTTTCTTTTGGGAACTAGTTGAACTCCTACTATCTTAAGGGTGTTAAGGACAAGATGTGCAGGCTCAAAAGTGAGGAGTATTTATTGTGAATTGTGTAAACATTTTCAACTCTCTAATGCTTTATGTGTTGCCATGCTACTTATAAGATACCTATGCTCTTAAGAGTTATTCCATCTCCACCATATAACCTCATTTATGTTAACTGTGACTTCTATTTTTTAAGCTATGGTATTTAGTCTCATAGGACATTGGCACTTACTCTGTATCAAGCTTAAATTTAGTGGGATGTCCATTAACAAAACTAAGTTTTGTGAAATCCTAATCAATTAGATCACTAGTTTCCCTTATGAATGCTTTGGGTAACTTGTCTAATGGTGGTATATTGTCTAATATAGGTACCTTTTCCAAGGGATGTAGTCCCATGGCATTAATGGTACGAGCAAGCATCTGGCTTTTTTGCTGCTATGAAACTGTGACCTACGTCACATCTTTTACAAGTGACTGACAGTCCTTGCCTTGTCTATAGTAACCATGCCTCGTTGAACTTGCTCGCGATGGTGGTGATGCTTGTTTTGAAGTGTAAATGCTATCTTCCCATTGTATTACTTGTAGCCTTATCTTTTGTGTTGTTAGTACAAAGGTGTTTCCCTTGCTGTCAAACTTTAGTCTTGGCACTCAGCAATTGCTCCCACAGAGCTGCCTTCTACAAAACTTTTGTCTCTTCCCAGTGTGGCTGCTCTTCACTGTCTTACTAACCCCATTGTTTATCCTGTACCTCTTACCAGCTCCAAGGTGAAGCTTTCCTTTTGGAGTGCTGCTTTTGCTCTGTGCACCTATCTGCTCATCAATTTCTGCATTTTGGCTACAGACTGACTTTCTTTGTGTTCTTAAAGTGATAATATATTTAAAGTGGTAAATTCACTGCATTCAGAAATTTTTTAACCTTTCTTGAATAGATTCAATCCACTATTGTTACCTTGCGAATTTTCAGCAATATTGTCCACTGCTGATCATGTTGTATAGGACAGGGTGTTTGAGATTGTCTTCACTTTCTATTCTCATTAAATCAACAGTAAATATCCCTTGGAAGGGAGTCAGAGGAAAATAAACCCCTCCCCATCTAGATATTTTCTAATCAACCTGTTCTGAGACGCTGTTTCACACTCTGGAGCGGGTAGGTCTTGAACCCAAGCCTCCTGCTTCTGATGTAGGGACACTACCACTGCACTAGGAGAGCCCTTAGAAATTGAGTTCTTTGACATCCTCGTGAAATAAACAAAAGTTTTTTTTCCCTCGAATTAACTTCTTTAAAGATGTTGTTACACACCCCAGGAGCAGGTGAGACTTGAACCTAGGTATCCTGTCTCAAAGGTAGGGACACCGCCACTACGCCAACAGAGCCCTTGCATTCCCCCTTCTGTGTTGAGTCTAATGGCCTGTCCTAGTTTTTAGTGGCAGTGGACAGACCACCAAATCTTAACAAGAGGCCCTCCTGTTGCATAAGCAAACCTAGATTATTGCATGACAGCAATATGTACAAGTTATATTGACAAGTTATGCATAATTTCAAAGATTATTGGGAGCTAAAGATAACATGTTTCTCTTTATCGTATCCTGATGCTAGACTGGTGACTCTGACATCATCAAATTGGGTGGAGCTTAATGCAACTTCAACATTAACTATTTCTGAACGATTACCTTATATAATAATGCTATGGGGGACAGGGACAGGCAGGAGAATGAAGTTAAGGACTCTTTCAGATCAGCCATTATCTTATTTCAATGTGCAGCACAAGAGGCCAGATAGCTTTACTCCTGTTTTTGAATCTTGCATTCCTAATTTAAATTACCAGCTGGTTGAGTCACCAAAATATGCTGACATTGCAAGTTTTAAACTTTTCGATAACTAATAAATATGAAATGTTTTTGTTTTCAGCAACAAAAACTTAATGAATAATCAAAGAGTATACACAAAGGGTTAAGCTTAATTATTGTGAGCTGCTTCTGTAATTTGTGTGTCATTTACATTGCAGTTTTGCCAATATTTGAAAGACAGAATAAATATTTTTCAGGGAGATTTTTTTCAGTTGGTCACCTACCACTACAGGAATTAACAATTCGATGCATTTGGCACAGATAACCAAACAATTAGGTTCCAAACATCCTGTGTGCTGGATGTTCCAGGGTAGATGCTGCATTTTGAATGAAAATGCAGCAGGGCCACTGATTCCTTGGATTGCCTTTCAGTTTTGTTAATGATAGGCCACTTGGGTACAGCTGATCAATCGGTCTTAATGTAATAGGGAACTGGACTAAATTGTTGACTCTTTAAATTTTTTATTATATACCAAGTTTTGAAAGTTATCGTAAAATGTCAGTGGCTCTGATTCTTCAAGGAGAATAGTACAGATTGTAGTTGCTGTAAATAAATTATGTGCTGAATGCCGTAATTTGCCTAATTAAGCTAGTTATAGAGTCATAGCGTAATACAGCATGGAAACAGGCCCTTCTGCCCAAACTGGTCCACGCGGACCATAATGCCCACTCAGCTAGTTCCAATTGCCTACAATTGGTCTATATCCCTCTAAAACCTTCCCACCCACGTACCTATCCAAATGTCTTCTAAATGTTGCCTTAACCACTTTCTCCGGCAGCCCATTCCATATACGCACCACTCTCTGCGTGAAGAAGTTGCTCCTCAGGTCCTTCTTAAATCTTTGCCCTCTCACCTTAAACCTATGTGCTCTGGTTTCCAACTCCCCATCCCTGGGAAAAAGACTATACACATTCATCCTATCCATGCCCCTCATGATTTTATACACCTCAATAAGGTCACCCCTCATTCTCCTACGTTCCAAGGAATAAAGTCCTACCCTGGCCAACCTCTCCCTGTTGCTCAGGCCCTGTTACTCAGGCCTACTATTCCGAGCAACATCCTCGTAAATCTTCTTTGCACACTTTCCAGTTTAACTATGTCTTTCCTATAACAAGGTGACTGAAATTGTACACAATACTCCAAGTGCAGCCTCACCAACGACTTATACAACTGTAACATAATGTCCCAACTCCAATACTCAATGCCTCGACCGATGAAAGCCAGCATGCCAAATACCTTCTTCACCATCCTGCCTGCCTGTGACGCCGCTTTCAACAAACTATATGCTTGTACTCCTAGGTCCCTCTGTTCCACAACACTCCTCAGGACCTTACCATTTACTGTACAAGTCCTACCTTGGTTTGACTTTCCAAAATGCAACGCCTCGCATTTTTCTGTATTGAATTGCATTTGCCAATTCTCAGCCCACTTTCCCATCTGATCAAGATCCCTCTATAATTTTTGAAAACCTTTTTCATTATCAACGATACCTCCTAATGTTGTTTCATCCGCAAACTTACTAATCATGCCTTGTACATTCACATCCAGATCATTTATGTAAATAACAAATAACAAATAGCACTGACCCCTGTGGCACACCACTAGTCACAGGTCACCTCTCCGAGAAACAACCTTCAACCATCACCCCCTGCTTTCTACCAACAAGCTAATTTTGAATCCAATTAGCTAACTTTCCCTGGATCCCATGCGACCTAACTTTGATGACTAGCCTGCCATGCTGGTTGGTCAGAATTGACAGGCATGTAAACATACACTATCAAAGACAATGAATCATGTCTGTGAGTCAGTGACAGAAATCTCTGACCTGAGAACTGGCACATAAAGGAACTGTAGTACATAGCAGTTATGAAGTTAATTGTGCGAGTGGCCATTATACTGAATCCACTTTCTAAGTCATAATTATCTAGGTTTGTAGCAAGGAAGAGTGGTCTCATCAGGCTTCTGTGAGATAACTTCTAGCTTCAGGATCATCCTTTTTCTTGATCCTTAGATTTTAGCCAAACGACTATCTTTCCATGCAATCGGTATCTTTGTCAGATGCTCGGTATATGATATCTTATGAAATGCCTTTAAAATTATATGCACTATATACTGTGCATTGTCTTTATCAACCGTTTTGTTAATTCCTCAGGGAATTCTATAAATTTTGACAACGTAGTCTGTCTTTCAGAGATGCATGCTTACTGGCTATAAATAACTTGTATTTCTCCAAGTGCTCAGCGGTGTCTTCTTGTAATATTGAACAACAGCTGACCAATAAACTCATGACTTATTTTTGTTTCATAAGAGTGGTGCAACAATTTCCACCCTCCTGTCTTCTTGAACACATCTAAAAAGATTTTGGAAAATTACAATTACACTATCTGTTATTTCTTCCATAACTTCCCTGTTATAGGTCCCTAGGGTAGAATTCATATTATAGTCATTTATCCACTTTTAAGTTTGAGTAATTATTTTCTCTGTAAATAATAAGCTGCATTCACCTCACAATTTTTTTTTGCTGCATAATCCCACTTAACCAGCCCAGACTTCCTTTGTGCAGCTTTCCTGTATTCTTTACACTTGTGCTGGTTTTCTCTTTTATGATTCGACCTGAAACCATCAAGTACTGCTTTACTTCAAGTTTGATCTCAACTCCCTCATCAACTTTGAAAACCCCGCATTAAATTTAGTCCCTTTCTTCCTTAACTTGATTTATTCCATTTTATTTCCTTTTAAATATTTCCCAACTGTTGATACACAGTTCTTTAGTCAGTTTGTTTCACATATTAAACTATGTGCTTGTGCCTTTTGCCTTTAGGGAGATGATAGAACATTGCCTTAATTGTTATGGCAAAAGATACACAAATGAAGGTAAGTGAGATATACAAATTATTGATTAATTAATTGAATTTCAACTGTTAAAATGGAAATTTGCAGTTGGGTATATGTTCGCCATGTTGTATGCATTATTGATTGCTATGGCAGAGTTGTGGAGCAGTGATGTGATCCATTGATTGTAGGATCATTGATCTTTATTTATAGCATGTTGCTTTTGCTGTTTAGCACATACATTGTCAGTGTTCTAGGTTTGGCAGATAAGCACCTGAATTTCAGGTACATTTGGTGCTATTGCTGGCAAGATATTTGCTTCTCATTGAATTATATTTTGTCATTTGGCTCGATGTTGGTGGAGTATTGAAGAATATGGTAGGGTAATGAGGGTGCAGATTGCTGGTGATTTACAATTCTGCCATTTCTGACAACCTGCAGGATTTCAATTTTGAGGTGCTGAACCTGCTCTTAATCTACCCCATTTACCATGGTATTAATGTCACAAAATGATGGAAGGTGGCATCAGTGTGAGGTTGGGAATTGGTCTCCAAAATGATTGTGGGATGGACACTCCTCCTAATGCTGTCATGGACAGACACACCATCAGGAATATTGATAATTATTGGGGCAAGCAGGTTCTCTTAATATTAGGTAATAATCTCTTAATATTAGATTATGTACAGATTAGGTGGATTGGCCAGGTGACACGTACATACTTCAGAGCTCTGTCGATAGTGGTGCTTCTTGGTGATGGTTACTGAAGGCAGTTGTTAGAGTGCATTCTGTGTCCTCGTTCCCCTCAGTGCTTCCTCTGAATTTCGTTTGTAGTGGAATAGCATTGATTCACCAGTTGAAGGGTGGCGATAGGGAGTATTCAGCAGGAGGTTTTCTCGCCCAACTTTCTTTGACCTTGGACTATAAGAATACATGGAATCCAGAATCAATGTTGTAAACTTCTAAGACCATTCCCTCCTGACTGTGTATCATTATGCCACCACCTCTGGTGGGGGCAGAAATTCTCAGGCAAATGTCCTAAATAGTGTTTAACATTGTGGCATCATCAGGAAGCATGCCCACTTCTAACCTAATGATGGAGGGAAGGTCATTGATGAAGCGGTTCAAAATGTTTGGAATGAGGACGGTATCCTGAGGAATACCTACAATATTGTCCTAGTCTGGGCTGGTTGATCCCCAACAACCATAACCAGCTTCCCATCTGCTAGATAGGGCTTTAAGGAGCAGAGATTCCTCCCCTAATTCCCATTGAATCCAGTTTTGCTAGGGCTGCCTTTTGCCAAACTTGGTGAAATGTGGCATCGTTGTCAAGGACAATCACTGTCTCCTCACCTGTGGGGTTCAGCTCTGTTTTGTGGCTAAAGTGAGGAAAGCGAACATTTCATGGAGACGAAATTGGTCTTGAGGGAGGAGATGGGCAGAAGCAACTGAAGGAATTGTTCCCATTTTCAAGCAAGAATGTAATTTAAAATCTCCTGAGTTAGATTGAAATCAGTTGGATGCTGTGCTAAGAACTGTATGTTTCTACAAAGAACAAACTAGGGCCAAATGGCAACTGCTTTGTCGCTTGGGTCCTTTGATAGTTTGGGTTCCAGCTGCGAGACTTGGTCGTTCCAATGTATAAGATTGGAAAACAAATTCCCATTTTAGATGAATATTGGATTTGTTTTGGTTTATTTACTATTATGTCATCTAAACCATTACATTTTATGAATAGTCATGATTGTGAACCCACCTGTCTGTTCTGTATGTGGTTGTGGACTCTGTCTGAGCATATGTTTATAACTTATCAAAGTGCTGCACTCCATTTTCAGCAGGAGAAGTGTTTTATGCGTTAAATGAGGATGAAGTTTGTAAGTCTATCGCACTGATGCTGTTAAGGAATGCTGTAAAATTCAATCTGTCTGAGTTTGAGGAGGTGTGGCAGCAGAGCGTACCTGAGGGCATGACAACAAGGCTCGATCAACTCAAGGTACACATTTCTTGAATAGTTGGCATTCTGCTTGTGTTCTAATAGTTTCTTTGTGCTTCCCAGTACTAATACCGAATAAGACAATCTTCCTTCTTATTTATTATACTTTAAGGCACCTTACCCCGTACCACTTCTTCTCCCCTCCCACCTCCACCCACCATATTATTCACCTACATCCGAGTACATAATGAGAACACCACCTTCTGCCATGTTATTGCTAGTACCATTTGGTGATTGTGCTAAAAGATTGAGGAATTGAATTATTCATTCCTTATTACCTCTCTGAAGCTATAGCTACTTCCTGCTCTGTACTTCCTCTGATGAACAGGCTCACATCAATATCAGACAACAGGTATATTTTAAAAAAAAACCTTAGGCCAACATGATGATATTTTTTAAATTGGCACAAGAATTTGTGTCAATGCCTATAAAATTCACTGGCATTTGATAATCACTCTGATTATTCTGTTTTGAAAACTAGAAGGGAAAGGAGTTATAGATTTAATTAACAGAAATTACAATCAAATATTTAAAAGACAAAAAAAGAGAATCACCAACATTTTGGAAAAACAACCATGCCCCGTTCCTCTGGCCTATACTTCACTCCTTGTCAGAGCTGCTGTTTTCATTCTCAGCACGCTTCTTTATTGGGATTCAAAATCCTTGTTCTCATATATTTCACGGTAGTTCTATTTGCTTTTTTCGATTCCTGGTTTCTGCCAACAGCTGATACAAACCACCATAATACTGTATATATTTCTGTCTCAGTCATTTGTTCCCTGTGCCTCCTTATTATCAGAAATTAAACCTTCTTTCACAAAATTAAAATACTGCAGATGCTGGAAATCTGAAGTATCGACAAAGTGCTGGAGAAACTTGGCAGTTCTGACAGCATCTGTGGAGAGAGAGAGAGAGAGAAAAACCAATGCTGTCAGACCTGCTGAGTTTTTCCAGTACTTTCTGTTTTTACTTCACTTTTTTCTTTGTCTACCCCATCCCCTTTCACATCTTCTTCCCAGACTCTGTGTCCAATCTTGCTCCTTAACTCTGTAGCAAATTTCTGTACCAGTGAAAGCACAATTGTGAAGATTGATTCATATATGGAACATTTCCAGGAACTGATGAGAATTTACTCAGTTCTTTTTATGCCAAAGTTAGTTGCATATAGCTGAGCATATAGCCTGATTCTTATCTCACAATGTTATGTGGTACGTCAGCCAGTAAACATTTGAAGCTGCTATTGAGCTACCACATAGCTAAAAGCATTGGATCCACCCAGAATAAAATTATGGTTCATGACTTAAATCCCTTTCTAAGGTGACTTGGAAAGTAACAGATATAAACTATTGGTAATCCTTGATTCCATGATAATTTGGCATGAATGTTTTAAGTGGCCTTGAATTTCTGGACCCAGAAAGATGCTTTGCTTCAGTTATAGTAAGTTCCCTGCCCACCTTCAATGCTGCTTCATTTTCCTCATTTGTTGCTGCTCCATTTAGGGAATATTATTTATGGCACATTCATCAGTCAATGCACTGTCAAATTATTCCTTCTACCATTCAAAGTAAAAGGTAAAGTCACCATAGTGCTGCTCTACCATGAGAGAAAGATGGCTGGTGGTGTTTAACCACAGGATCACCACGCCTCAGGTGAGGGGAGAGGTTGAGAAGGCAGGATCTTCATGGTAACCTCAGTTGGTGCAGGACTTGAACCCACACTGTTGGCATCACTCTGCATCACAAACCAACCCTCCAGCCAACTGAACTAACCAATCCCCTATGACTTGCAGCACTAGTTTGCAGAATGGATCTGTGTATATGTGTAGCTCTCAGACAAAGTAAGAAATAATTAAGCAAAGGGAGAAGGTGTTCATTGTTTTGAACCTTAGCAAGCACAATGCTAGCTATCTTCCCAGACATCATAGAAATTACTGGATCACAGCAAAACCAGCAACTCCTCAACAGAGGCAGTACCAGCTCCTGTTCTAGATTGAGTCCTCTGGGTTGACATATTTGTTTGTTTGCAATTGCTATGTATACTCTATAATGCTGGCATTTTTTGTCCAGTTAATTTACTAGTGAACAGTAAATAGAAAATGGCTATGCAGTTGTATTAGGATAACAAGGTATAGAGCTGGATGAACACAGCAAACCAAGCAGCTTCAGAGGAGCAGGAAAGCTGACGTTTCGGGTCTGGACCCTTCTTCTGCTGTGTTCATCCAGCTCTACACCTTGTTAACTCAGATTCTCCAGCAGTGGCAGTTCCTACTATCTCTACACAGTTGTATTACTATTTTTGAAGCAGTGTTTCTTGTACCACAGTGTATAAAATATTCAAAGCCAAATTTTGGTAAAAATCAGGAATTTGGAGCACTTGTAAAACAACTTTTGCGTCAAATAAAAATAGAAAGAAGTCAATAAAAAAGAAAAGGGACTTTTCATGCCTATTTTATGTTGCTTTTCCCCTTCTTCTTCTCTACTGAAGTCTTGATTGCATACTGAAATATTTGCAGTGGCACAGCATCTTCAAAGAAATTCACCCAAATCTAATTCTTCAAATGTACCCAGAATTCACGCTGCTGTGGTATAACAATTGAGCGCATGCACTTCAAGCAAGATGATCATTAGAGTGGAAACCTTGGCTTATTTCATCACCCTGGCCAAGTATGGGAGTGTAGTAAATTGGTTTCATTCAAGCCAGTGAACTTAAACCGAAGTTATTTGTGAAGGAGAAAGCAGAGTTAACGTTTCGGGTCCGGTGACCCCTCCTCAGAATTGATAGTGGCTGGGAAAACGTCAGTTTATATTCAGAAAATAGGGAGGTGGGTGGACGAGGGAGTAAATGATAGGATAGAGCCCGAAGAGAGAGAAAGACAGTTGGACAGACAAAGGAGTTGCTAACGATCAGGCTGGGAGGGTGAATAGTTGTTAATGGGGACTGTTAGTGACTAACAACAGGAGGTGTGTAGTGGCAGGCTATGTGGTAACAAGGCCTGGTGTGTGGGGTGGGGGGCTGGGACATGAGAGAGTTTAGGCCCTAAAATTATTGAACTCAATATTGAGTCCGGAGGGCTGTAGGGTCCCCAAGCAGAAAATGAGGTGTTGTTCCTCCAGCTTGCATTGGGCTTCACTGGAACACTGTAGCAAGCCCAAGAGAGCAGGGTGGTGCATTGAAGTGGCAGGCAACAGGTAGTTCAGGGTCTTTTTTGCGAGTAGAACGTAGATGTTCTGCAAAGCAGTCGCCAAGTCTACGCTTTGTTTCCCCAATGTAGAGGAGACCACATTGTGAACGGCGAATGCAGTAGACTAGATTCTGGGAAGTGCAGGTGAAGTGTTGCTTCACCTGGAAGGTATGTTTGGGCCCTTGGATAGTGGGGAGGGAGCAGGTAAATGGGCAGGTGTTGCACCTTCGCCGGTTACAGGGGAAGGTGCCGTAGGGCTGTGGGGGGCGTTGGGGGTGAAGTAAGTGTGGACCAGGGTGTCCCGGAGGGAACGGTCCCTGCGGAAGGCGGGCAAGGGAGGGGAGGGGAATATGTGTCTGGTGGTGGCATCCTGCTGGCGGTGGCGGAAATGGTGTCTGATGATCTTCTGGATGTGGATGCTGGTGGGATGGTAGGTAAGGATAAGGGGAACCCTATCGCTGTTGCGGGACGGAAGAGAAATGGGTGAGGGCGGAAGTGCGGGAGATGGGTCGGACCTGGTTGAGGGCCCTGTCGACAACGGAGCTGGGGAAACCTCGGTTGAGGAAGAAAGTGGACATTTCGGAGGCTCCCTTGTCGAAGTTGGCCTCATCTGAACGTATGCGACGGAGACGGAGGAACTGAGAGAATAGGATGGAGTCTTTACAGGAAGTGGGGTGTGATGATGTATAGTCCAAGTAGCTGTGGGAGTCAGTGGGTTTGTAATGGATATAGTGGCCAGTCTATCCCCAGAAATGGAAACAGAAATGTCAAGGAAGGGAAGGGAGGAGTCAGAGATAGACCAGGTGAAATTGAGGGCATGGTGGAAATTGGAGGCGAAATTGATGAAGTTTTCCAATTCCAGACGAGAGAGGGAAGCAGCACCGACGATATCATCAAGGTTCGGAGAAAGAGTTGTGGGTGGGGGCTGGAATAGGACTGGAACAGGGAATGTTCCACATACCCGACGAAGTGACAGGCATAACTAGGGCCCATGCGGGTACCCATGGCAACCCCTCTTACCTGAAGAAAATGAGAGGAGTTGAAAGAGAAGTTGTTGAGGAGGAGGAGGGTGGTGATGGGGTGGGGATGGTTCAGGTCTTCATTGTTTTCATTGAAAGTTTTCATTGAGAACTGTCGACGTGACATTAATCGCCTCAATTTCACTGCCCCTCTCAACAAATCCAACCTATCTCCCTCTGAACTGACTGCACTCCGTGCACTCAGATCTAACCCTGACTTTGTCATCAAGCCTGCCGATAAGGGTGGTGCTGTTGTAGTCTGGCGTACTGACCTCCACCTTGCAGAGGCTGAGCGCCAGCTCTCGGATACCTCCTCCTACCTACCCCTCATTATATCCACTACGGTTACGGATCTCATTTCATCCGGCGATCTCCCCCACCTCCGCTTCCAAGCTAATAGTTCCCCAACCCCGCACAGCTCATTTCTACCTCTTGCCAAAAATCCACAAACAGTACTGTCCGGGCAGACCCATTGTTTCAGCCTGCTCCTGCCCCACAGAACTCATCTCTTCCTACCTTGACTCAGTCATCGCCCCCGTGGTCCAGTCCCTACCCACATACAAGGTGTAGAGCTGGATGAGCACAGCAGGCCAAACAGCATCAGAGGAGCGTACATCCATGATTCATCTGACGCCTTACACCGGTTTCAAAACTTCCAGTTTACCGGCTCCAGCCACCTCCTCTTTACGATGGATGTACAATCCCTTTACACATCCATTCCCCACCAGGAGGTCTTAGGGCTCTCCGCTTCTTCCTGGAGCAAAGACCTGAACCATCCCCACCCACCATCACCCTCCTCCTCCTCAACAACTTCTCTTTCAACTCCTCTCATTTTCTTCAGGTGAGAGGGGTTGCCATGGGTACCCGCATGGGCCCTAGTTATGCCTGTCTCTTCGTGGGGTATGTGGAACATTCCTTGTTCTAGTCCTATACCAGCCCCCACCCCCAACTCTTTCTCCGAAACATCGATGATATCGTCGGTGCTGCTTCCCTCCCTCGTCTGGAATTGGAAAACTTCATCAATTTCGCCTCCAATTTCCAACCTGCCATCACGTTCACCTGGTCTATCTCTGACTCCTCCCTTCCCTTCCTCACATTTCTGTTTCCATTTCTGGGGATAGACTGGCCACTAATATCCATTACAAACCCACTGACTCCCACAGCTACTTGGACTATACATCATCACACCCCACTTCCTGTAAAGACTCCATCCCATTCTCTCAGTTCCTCCGTCTCCATCAGATATGTTCAGATGAGGCCAACTTCAACAAGGGAGCCTCCGAAATGTCCACCTTCTTCCTCAACCGAAGTTTTCCCAGCTCCGTTGTCAACAGGGCCCTCAACCAGGTCCGACCCATCTCCCGCACTTCCGCCCTCACGCCTTCTCTTCCCTCAGTGATAGGGTTCCCCTTATCCTTACCTACCATCCCACCAACATCCACATCCAGAAGATCATCAGACACCATTTCCGCCACCTCCAGCAGGATGCCACCACCAGACACATATTCCCCTCCCCTCCCTTGTCCGCCTTCCGCAGGGACCGTTCCCTCCGGGACACCCTGGTCCACACTTCCTTCACTCCCAACACCCCCCCACGGCCCTACGGCACCTTCCCCTGTAACCGGCGAAGGTGCAACACCTGCCCATTTACCTGCTCCCTCCCCACTATCCAAGGGCCCAAACATACCTTCCAGGTGAAGCAACACTTCACCTGCACTTCCCAGAATCTAGTCTACTGCATTCGCCGTTCACAATGTGGTCTCCTCTACATTGGGGAAACAAAGCGTAGACTTGGCGACTGCTTTGCAGAACATCTACGTTCTACTCGCAAAAAAGACCCTGAACTACCTGTTGCCTGCCACTTCAATGCACCACCCTGCTCCCTGGCCAACATCTCTGTCTCTGGCTTGTTACAGTGTTCCAGTGAAGCCCAACGCAAGCTGGAGGAACAACACCTCATTTTCCGCTTTGGGACCCTGCAGCCCTCCGGACTCAATATTGAGTTCAATAATTTTGGGGCCTAAACTCTCCCATGTCCCAGCCCCCCACCCCACAAAACCAGGCTTTGTTACCACATAGCCTGCCATTACACACCCCTTGCTGTTAGTCGCTAACAGTTCCCATTAACAACTATTCACCCTCCCAGCCTGAACGTTAGCAACTCCTTTGTCTGTTCAACTGTCTTTCTCTCTCTTCAGGCTCTATCCTATGTTTACTCCCTACCCCATCCACCTCCCTGTTTTCTGCATATAAATTGACGTTTTCCCAGCCACTTTCAGTTCTGAGGAAGGGTCACCAGACCCGAAATGTTAACTCTGTTTTCTCCTTCACAGATGCTGCCAGACCTGCTGAGCTTTTCCAGCAACTTTGTTTTTGATCCTGATTTACAGCATCCGCAGTTCTTTTGGTTTTTATTCCGAAGTTATTTGTGTTTTGTTACTAGACATTTACCATTCACTTGATAATTAAACAGTTGTTTTTTCCAGATTTCCTTTCAAAATTTTGTGCTTTAATCCGTGTTTTCTGTAATTTTCTATTGTACAGGGTGTTGCTCTTGTGGATAGAAATTCAAGACCACAAGTGATTTTTCAATTAAATGTCGAGGATCTGCCAGAGAACACACAGGAACGTTTCAACAGCCTATTTAGCATCAGAGCAAAATGGACTGAGGAAGATATTGCTCCATACATCCAGTGGGTACCTTTAGAATTGAGTTTGTGCAGCCTGTTGCTGTTCGCTGTGAGTTACTGAATTCTGTGTATTAAAGACATAAAAAAGGTGGACACAACAAACTTATCTGTCACAGTCATAGCGTCATAGAGGTTTAAAGCATGGAAACAGCCCCTTTGGCTCAACTTGTACATGCTGCCAAGTTCTAAAAAGCAAAGAACAATACAGTGCAGGAACAGGCCCTTCGGCCCTCCAAGCCTGCCCCGACACATTTTGCCCTTCCATACTAAAACAGTCTTGCTTTCAAGATCCATATCCCTCTATTCCCTTCCTATTCGTGTATTTGCCTAAGTGTTTCTTGAACGCTGCTATTGTGTCTGCTTCCACCACCTCCTCAGGCAACATGTTCCAGGCTCTCACCACCCAAAACTTGTCTCTTTTAAACTTTGCCCCTCGCACCTTGAGCCTATGTCTCCTAGTAATTTACCCCTCTACTGTGGGAAAAAGCCTCATACTTTCCACTCTACCCATGCCATTCACAATCTGATAAACTTCTATTAGGTCGTCCCTTAACCTCCTGCATTCCCGTGAAAACAAACCCATTCTATCTGACCTTTCTTCATTGCTAAAATTCCCCCATACCGAGCAACATCCTGGTAAACCTTTTCTATACCCTCTGCAAAGCATCCACATCCTCCTGGTAGTGTGGTGACCAGAACTGTATGCAGTGTTCTAAGTGTGGCCTAACTAATGTTCTATATAGTTGCAGCATAACTTGCCTATCCTTATATTCAGTGTTCCTTCCAATGAAGGCGAGCATGCTATAAGCCGTTCTTACTACCTTAGCTACCTGCGCTGCCACCTTCAGTGATCTGTGGACCTGCATACCCAGATCCCTCTGCATTTCAATTTTCCGAAGGGTTCTGCCATTCAGTGTATAATTGTCACCTGTACTTAACCTTCCAAAATGCGTCACCTCACATTTGTCTGGATTAAACTCCATCTGCTATTTTTCTGCCCATGTCTCCAACAGATCTATATCCCGCTGTATCCTCTGACAATCCTCCTCACTATCCACAACTCCACCAATCTTTGTATTCTCCGCAAACCTACTAATTAGACCAGCTATGTTTTCCTCCAAATCATTTACGTAGATCACAAACAGCAGAGGTCCCAGCACTGATCCCTGTGGAACACCATTAGTTACAGCCCTCCATTCCAAAAAGCATCCATCTACCACTACCCTCTGTCTCCTACGACTAAGCCAGTTCTGTGCCCATATTGCCAGCTCACCCTGATACCATGTGACTTCACTTTTTGTACCAGTTTGCCATTCACAATTAATCTGTGTGCGTCTGGTCCATATCCGTCCATACCTATCCCATCCATGTACCTGTCCAAATGTTTCTTAAATGATAAAATTGTACACTCCTCCACCATTACTTCTGGCAGCCTGTTCCAGATACTCACCACCCTCTGGGTGGAAAAAATTGCTCCACTGGACCCTTTTGTATCTCTCCTCTCTCACCTTAAACCTATGCCCTCTTGTTTTAGACTCCCCAGTCATGGGAAAAGCTCTCAGCTATCTGCCTGATCAATGCCTCTCTTGATTTTATAAAACTCTATAAGGTCACCCTTCAGTTTCCTATGCTCCAGGGAAAGAAGTCCCAGCCTATCCAACCTCTCCTTATAACTCAAACCCTCCAGTCCATTCTAGTAAATCTTTTCTGCACTTTTTCTACGTTGAGGCGACCAGAAATGCACACAGAACTCCAAATGTGGCCTTACCAACATCTTGTATAGCTGCAACAAGTCATCCCAACTCCTGTGCTCAATGACTTGGAGACAGTAAGGACTGCAAATGCTGGAATCCAGAGTCAGTAGATGTGAAGCTGGAAAAGCACAGCAGGTCAGACAGCATCCGAGGAGCAGGAAAGTCAACGTTTTGGGCCGAAACCCTTTGTCAGAAGTAAATAGAGGGAGGGTTTGGGGCTGGGGAATGGTAGGTGGAACGGTCCACTTTCCACAGGCACCATTCATTCCATGACTCCCTCATCAGCTCTACGCTCCCCACCACCTTCTCCCCCACACCCAGTACCTTTCCCTGCAACCATAGGAGGTGCTACACCTGCCCCTACACCTCCCCTCTCACCTCCATCCAAGGCCACAGTCAATCCTTCCAGATCCAGCAGACATTCATCTGCACTTTATCCAACCTGATCTATAGCATCCGTTACTCCCGATGTGGTCTCCTCTATATTGGGGAAACCAAACGCAGACTTGGGGACCGGTTCACGGAGCATCTGTCTGCACGCACCAACCAACCCAACCTTCCGGTTGCCATCCATTTTAATTCCCCCTCCCACTCCCCTGGTGACATGTCCATCCTTGGTCTCCTCCACCGTCAGAGTGAGGCCAAATGTAAACTGGAGGAACAACATCTAGTATTTCACCTTGGGAGCTTACAGCCCAACAGCTTTAATATTGACTTCATCAGCTTCAAAATCCCTCCACCCCCACGCTTATCCCATGTCCATCCCTCCCCCTCCTCCTCACCTTCCTGACCTGAACTAACCTGTCCATCTTCATACTTACTCTATCTGCACCACCCCTCCCACTGACCAATCACATTAACCCCCTACCTGCATCCACCTATCACCATCTCACCTACCCTTTCCCCAGCACCACCCCCCCCCCCCCCCCCCTCTATTTACATCTGGGCTCCCCTCCTCAGTCCTCACAAAAGGTTTCAGCCTGAAATGTTGACTTTCCTGCTCCTGAGATGTTGTCTGACCTGCTGTGCTTTTCCAGCTTCACTCCTATACTCAGTGCTCTGACTGATGAAAGCAAGCATGCTGAAAGCTTTCTTCACCACCCTGTCTATCTTAACTCCACTTTCAAGGATCTATAAACCTGTACCCCTAGATCTCTTTGTTCTATAACACTCCCTAGTCATTGACTCTGCCACTGACTCTGTAAGTCCTGCCCTGGTTTGACCCACTAAAATGCAACACCTTGTATTTACCTAAATTAAACTCTATCTGTCAATTCTCAGCCTGCTGACCCAGTTGATCAAGATCTTGCTGTATTCCCAGATAACTTGCTTCACTGTCTACTCTACCACCAATCTTCGTGTCATCTGCAAAAGTTATTGGAACAATTTGATGAGTGATCTGATTTCACAGATTTCTTCTGACAATAACAATTGCTTTACACCTTGCCTATTTTCACTGCTCCTGTCTCAGGTTTACCGCTATTTCCCTGGGAACCATGATCTGCTAATTTTGGATCGTTTTGCTTTTGTTGCCCTCTAACATTTTTTAAATCAAAGTGTAACTCTTTGCTCCAATGTTCTGAGGTCCAATGGAAGAGAAACTTGGCCCATCTGTTATTCACTTCTCAACATTTGACTCTAAGCCCAGCTTCTCACTTTAACACTCCATGCCAACAGTAACTTCAGACCCAAAGTACTGTTCTTCTGCCCTGCCAACACCAATTTTCACACCCAGGAGCAGCACCAGCTGTACCTGCATATGAGGTGCCGACCTGAAAGCTCAACACAGGATTACACGCACGTTACAAATCAGTTGAATCAGTGTCTATGGATAGAGCTAAGCAATTCTATCAGAGATCAAAGCTCTACAGCCCTGCTATATTCAGTCATAAATGGTCATGGCCAATTCAATAATTAATAAGAAGGTGTGAATTTAATTCACTCTGTAGGATCTCAATAAACTGCTGACATCACTCAATACAGCATTGACATATCACCAAGCTCTCACTCCCAGTCACCCTAATCTTACTGTATTCTTGCTGGACTGACGATTGAGATCAAGCCTAGGATGAGTAGGAAATGAACCAGGAACCCTGAAATTACTTTAATATGTTTTGAATACGCCTAACACTAGAAAGCAGGCTTTACTGTTGTAGATATGTAGTCCGTAGCTTACACGTAGGTCTCATGGTGCAGTGGCAGTGTTCCTACCTCTGTGCCAGAAACTCTGGGTTCAGGATTTGATGGCCACGGAAGGAGTTTTGTAACATGGCCAAAATGTTGACTATCAATCTGTGCAGCCTCGTGATATGCCTGTGGCAGATAGTAAGAGTGGAAGTTTCCTGCTCAATCAGAATCAAGTGGTTACTGCAGTGCAATAGTCCCGTACATTAAAACACTTCACATGCATGTTGTTGTCTCACAAGCATCAACCTCACTGCCAAACATGTTTATATGCTTTAGAATATAACCTTTTCTTTGGAAATAAAGTTTCAGTTGTAGAAAATAGGCTGTCTGGTTGAGAAAATAGTAGATGCAGAACTCGAGTTAGTGCAATTTTTAAAAAGGCTTAGAGTTAATTACACTTGAAAGGGTGGAGCCATGTTGACTTAAGAAGTTAACAGCTAGAAAAGCAAGATCATAAAACTTGTTTCACATAAAAAGTGGGCTTACTTAGATAAAGAACTAGGAACCAGCCATTTGCCATCTTTTGTAAACTAATAGAGGAAATTACAGCTTAGGCATGGCGTTTGCAGGTAGCAGCTCACTGGGAGGAGGTAGTCAAAGTAACTGACAGTTAGTAGGCTTGTGCTGTAAGTGGGGGGAAATAAAGCAAACTTCATAATTTGCTGCGTGGAATGCAATTTGTGCCTATACTCCGTCTGGGTCACTTGAAGGAAGAGAAGCCGAAAGATTGCCTAGACCAAAGCTAGTGGAAAAATCTGCAGTGGACTTCACTGAGTTTAGTAGCAAAACAAAGCATCCACAGATGAGCTTGGAACTATTGAGTTGAACAACTAGAACAAGGGACTGAGGCATCCACAGTCATGGGGGCTTGGGGGAGGGGGTGGTTGGTGGGTCATGAAAGTCTTACCTCAGAATAGCGGGAACTGAGGGGAATCAACATAGTTTCCAGGGGATTCTGGCACACATTTGGATGGTTCTGATAGAAATAAATCTTAAGATTTGAGAAGGCATTAAAGAATTCTTTGGGGAAGTAAGAAATAAGTCTGAATGCAAAGCATCCACGGTTACAGACCACATTGTAAGTTAATTATATTTATTTTGTTTAAGACTTTATTAAGTTTGATTTTATTTAGAAATGTGAAATCTTATGCAGTTCCATTGATTAAAATAAGGTGTTTGGATTTTTCTTTCGGTATTAATGATGCCTAACAGGGTTGTAATAATATATACTTGAAATGTGAAGGAAGTAAGCTGAGCGAGATAAGCAATACTGTTTGAGATCTATGAGATGCTACTTGATATATACAATGCTGATGGTTTTGTTCTTGATACAAAACACAATGGACACTGCCCTCCTCAGGCTGAGAATTAGAGAATTCCCATAAATTTTAGTTCTGGAATGAAGAAGTTATTCAACGTAGAATTAAACTTTTGTTAGTTCTTTGCATATACTTTAGTTCCCTCTAAGGAACAATGGGGAAGCATTGAAAGGATTAGCCTACTGGTTATCAACCGACTAAACCGCAGTCATAATACTTCTCCCAAGGCCAATATATTCTGGAGTAGGACTTGAACCTTTGGTCTCAGATCTGGGGATGCTGCCCACTGAGTCACAAAACCTCTTGGAATTAAATATTTTGCCGACAGAAAGAGGCACTTACCATATCTTTTCTTGAAAAGATTTTACATCCCCTGGCAATTAATTGAATATAAACAATATACACTTAAAGCTAAGTTCCTGGGGACTGTTACTGAACAAAGACGCCTTGGAGTGAAGGTTCATGGTTCCTTGAAAATGAAGTCGAAGGTAGATGGGGTAGTGAAGAAGGCATTTGGAATGCTTGCCTTTATTGGTCAGTGCAATGAGTATAGGAGTTGGGAGGTCAGTTGCAGCTGTTCACGATGTTGGTTAGGCCACTTTTGGAATCCTGTGTGCAATTCTGGTCACCCTCCTATAGGAAGGATGTTGTGAAACTTGGAAGTGTTCAGAAGAGATTAACAAGGATGTTGCCAGGGTTGGAGGGTTTGAGCTATAGGGAGAGGCTGAATAGGCTGGGGCTATTTCCTCTGGAGTGTTGGAGGCTGAGGGTTGATCTTATAGAGGTTTGTTAAATCATGAGGGACATGGATAGGGTAAATATCCAAGGTCTTTTCCCTGGGGTGGGGGCGTCCAAAACTAGAGGGCATAGGTTTAAGGTGAGAGGGGAATGATTTAAAAGGGACCTAAGGGGCAACTTTTTCATACAGAGGGTGGTGCATGTATGGAACAAGCTGCCAGAGGAAGTGGTGGAGGCTGGTATAATTACAACATTTAAAAGGCATTTGGATGGGTATATGAATAGGAAGGGTTTAGAGGGATATGGGCGAAATGCTGGAAAATGGGACTAGATTAATTGAGGATATCTAGTCAGCATGGATGAGTTGGACCGAAGGGTCTGTTTCCATGTTGTCTGTCTCTATGACTCTTAATCACTGAACCTTATCAACACCTTCCGTTTAGCTAGCATTTTTAACATAGACAGACTTTCTGAAGTGCTTCACTGAGAACAGTGAATATCAAACTTTGTTGGAGAGTTGAGATGTGACTGAAGGCTTCATCGGAGAGATGTGTTTCAGGATGGTTCAAGAAGGTTTACAGAGGTGGAGAAGTAGTGAGGAAACTGAGACAGGTACAATCAGGGTGATTGGAAGATAGTGCCACCAATAGAGAAGCAGAGAGAATCAGAATTAGAAAGGGAGCATGGGAAGTGTTGTGAGGCTGGAGGAGAAATGGTGAAATAACATCAGTTGAGAATTTTAATTGACATTGTGGTTTCAACTTAACATTTTTTGTTAATCACCGGGGTTGCTTGTGATTTCGTATTTTCACATCCTGTCAGCCATTTCAAGAGGTGGTTGGTTAGTCACCTTGACACTTGTTTTCTATGTTTTTCAACTTCATCCAAGGTACTCCTTGAAAAGCTTTCAAAGATTTTTTTTCAGTGCCTGGTAAAAATTCTGGAAGAATGGAGTTCACTGCTTGCTATCTTATGCTGTAATTGTTTTTTTCAAATATTATATAGCAGCGTCCTGACTCTGTCTTAATATAAGAAATAGTTTTTGTTGAGCCGTATGTTTAAGAAGGAGTTCTTTCAGTTGGCTGAGTTAACAGGGCTAAATGAGCCAACATCAGCTTACCTTCCCGCTGTTGATCACAACAATGTGAGTTTTCTGAGTGTATGATTTGGAGGTGAGGCCTACACAGCAGTGCCTATCTGCCTGGCAGCTGTGGGTAAGTCTGTTAAAGTCAACTAAACCTTAATTAAGCTTATGGTTACGTCTTGGACTCTGTTGCCCTGGCCTGACCTTTGGAAGTTTCTTTGACATGGTTCCCCAGTTGGCTGGATGGTCGGTTTGCGATACAAAGTGATGCCAACAGCATGAGTTCAATTTTCCACACAGGCTGAGGTTAACACGAAGGACTTTCATTCTCAACCACTCCTGTCACATGAGGCATGGCGACCCTGACGTTAAACCACCACCAGTCATCTCCCTAACAAGACCAGACAGGCTTAAACCTGTAAGATATGCTTGACATCACAACATGATGTTCTGGTATAAAGATACATGTTTCACTTTCAGTCACTCACTCTCTTATGCATACATTATATTCAATCAACTATGTGTTGATCAGTAAGCAGATAATCCAGTTGACGTGTAAGTCTGTGATTTTGTAGCCTTGTGTATAGTCAATGTTGTCAATAAATGTCAGGATATCAGTATCTCAAGGACCCAACTCTTTGTGGTATATGTTGCACAGGTAATGAATAGAATACTACAAATGGCATCAGTTGATGTTTAAACATATGAGTAGCTCCTATTAGATATCTAAGTTGCTGTTTTAATGTACAAATTGTTTCTGCTTGTTTACTTGTGAACAACAGTAATTATACTACAAAAGTAACTAAGTGATAGTGAAGCACACGAGGATCTCTAAAAGGCTAGGAAGATACCATACAAATACAAATTGTCACTTAATAATTGGACAGAAAAATTCTGTTTTAAATTCTTTACTTCAGTTGCAGCTTACCTGACTTCCCTTTAAGTTGCAAAGTTTCAAATAGCCTTTTCGCTCTGCTTGACATAGCTCTGGATATTAAGAAAATTGCAGAAAGTTGCACATCTTTATTTGATAGTAACTGTTACACTAAACAACTCCTGAGTCTGTTCATTCAGGCAGAAATAATCTTTTCACAAAACCTTCCTGGAGGGAGGCTTCCACTTAATGACTTAAAATAGTTACCTATTTTCTATGTTGTGTTTCTGCATACCATCAGTCACCAGTAGCATCTTTGAATTATTGTTGATGTTCATTGTAGGCAGCATTTCATGTATCCACTTACCCAGAAAATCCCATTCTCAAAAGACTTCTCTTTCCACATTGAGATTTGCACTGACTGAAACAAATTAAGAATGAATTACCCTCTTCAATTCAGTTACAAGGAAAGATACAAATGACAAATTAGTCACTCATGAGATGAATATAATCGCTCCATAGCATCAAATTTTGGTTATGATTGAAGTGAAGTCATGCCGAGAACGATGACCAAATCCTGACCACTCTCATGGCTTTATTTAACAATAAGAATCGCTTCACTATTGTTGCACAAACTTCCCACTGATGCCATCAGACTTCCTATCAATGAAGCTGACTCTTAAGAACCAAATTTGCCAATTGCACAGAATACCAAAAACATGAAACATTAGCAATATCTCTTTGGTAGATTTGTAAACTATATTTTATTCAGAGAAGAAATATTGGAATGAACATTACACCTAAATTTGCCCTCCATTTTTGGATTTTTTTAAAGCTCCACGTGTATTTGTCCCCATCCACTGAAGGATAAATAGAGTTCTTTTTAGTTTTACTTTATCAGAAAAAGCTTGCTATTGAGAAACCTGTTAATATTATTTCACATATCTGACCTTGTATTTAAACAACTTACAAGCTATTTAATTAATCTCCCATTTTAACAGGGGTTTATGTGGAGAAAAGCAGACTGTTGGAACTTTACTGACAAAATATGCTCGTTCATCGATGCAGAATGGTACGAAAGTGTTTAGCTCCAGAAGACCAATCTAATGATGGATTTGAAAACTTGAAATTCATCAGAAGAATGTTTGCCTAAAAAATGTACAATGCATGTTTGCCTCTCATTCCATCTCCCATTTTTGTGGATTTGAAATTGTCATGAAAGTATTTTTCAGAATGCAAGTGGTATGTTTTTGGTTTGTTAATAAAAATAAAGGATATATTTTCTGGAATGACACTGCTGTTAGTTCTGTCAAAGAGTAGGCTGTTACTTTAAACTTTTGTAGTAAAATGTTGTACCTAGATACATTAGCTCTACTTTTCCTTTTAAAGTCTCAATGCATTTGTAGTCATGTTATTTGTGATGAAAAAATCTCAGCCTTTCTTGCACTCTACAGTCTTGCACAATCATGTGCATTCACTCTGTATAGACTTCATGTTGATTGTGAAGTGAATACAATATTTGACATGAGCTGATCACATATGCTGTTGCATTGTGCTGAATGATGATTTGAGAGTGGAGCACTGATTACACCAGACCTTGGACTTATGTATTAAGAGGAAAATATGTAACTGCTCTGGTGTGGTTCGACTGATTTGATGTTTTTTGATGTGACTGAGTCTTTTCAAAAAGTGATGGTCAGCCAAATTATTGTTGAATTTAGGCTTGGGAAAACTGAAAAATATGCAGTAAGTTGAGGTGTCCTTGGTAAATGCACATGTATTTTTCTCGTTCACATGTGCACATATTACGTAGCTATTTTTCTCAAATTGTAACCGCATCAAGGTCATTTGAAGCAAAAAAGCAGTGACAGTGAATCAGAAAAGATGACCAGTTCAACGGCTTTGTGAGTGAATTCACCAACAGCCCTCACTGCATAGTTACCATTTGTGTGCCATGTGACTGCAAGATAAAGACATTTAGAAAAGGAAAGTCCTCCCGTCCCCGAGTCTGACATTGATAAGAAGCTTAACTGGACCAACCACTATCAACACTGTCAGTATAATAACATAGCAAGGATCAGGTATTATACGAAAAAAAATTCTCCAGCCACCTCACTGAGAAGCCTCAAGTTAGCAGTGTTATGTAATACCTGTCATTCACTGCATATCAACGTTTGAGCTTAACACCACACAAATGAAACATTAGATGGGCACACCTGTATTGGACTACAGGTAGTCTGTAGAATGGTGGCTTCAGTTTGTACAATTTAGCTTATACTGCCATTCCTTCTTTGTGTTGATGCCCTGGAAAACTCTACCTAACATCATTTGTGAGAGATTTGTCATCACAGGAACTGCAGTAGGCCTGCACCCCTGGATTTTAGAAGAGTTAGAGGTGACGTAATCGAAACACAAGATTCTGAGGAGACTTAACCGGATGGATGTTGAAAGGATGTCTCCTCTTGTGGGAGAATCTAGACCTAAGGGTCATAGATTAAAAATAAAGGTGTGCTCATTTAAAAAAGAGATGTGGAAACCTCTTTTTCTTTCCTTGGAATTCCCTTCCTCAAAAGGCAATGGATGCAAAATCTTTAAATATTATTGATGCAGAGTTGGATAGATTCTTGATTGCCAAGGAGATGAAAGATTATTGGGGATTTGCAGGAGTGTAGAGTTGAGGCTGAAATCAGATCAGCCATGAAACTGCAGAGTAGGCTCGAAGGGCTGAATAGCCTACTCTTGTTCTTTGTTTGTAGTTTGGATAGAAGACCTACTTTGTTAGGCCAACAAAACATGGGCATTAAATGCTGATCCTGAGAACAATTCTGTTTTAACAATCGTTGGGTGAATTATCACATGGTTACATGTAAAGATTCTTCTTTAACAATATGCTCCATTCTTTTTCTCAGTTCATCACCATTACATCAATATAAAACCTTTCCACCACCTACAATAGTTATTATGTCCTCTCGAGTTTCACCAAATGACTGAAATTTATAGCATAGAACCAAGTATTTTTTAAATGCAGTTTCAGACCATTCATTTCATATAGTTCCTTCAGGCAGAAAGCAGAGAAGTGGGACGGCATGGTGGCTCAATGGTTAGCACTGCTGCCTCACAGCGCCAGGGATCTGGGTTTGATTCCACCCTTGGAGTGTGGTGTTTGCACATTCTCCCTGTGTCTGCGTGCGTTTCTTCCAGGTGCTCCAGTTTCCTCCCACAGTCCAAAGATGTACAAGTTGGGTGAATTGGTCATGCTAAATAGCCCTATAGTGTTCAGGGATGTGTAGATTAGGTGGGTTACAGAGGGATGGGTCTGGGTGGGATGCTCCAAGGGTCAGTGTAGACATGTTGGGCCAAAGGGCCTGTTTCCACACTGTAGGGATTCTATGATTCAAGTTCCATCCATTGGAACTTTAAGCCCCAAGTGTGAGTGGTAGTATATGCAGAAACCACAGGGACAACCCATATATTCAAAGGACAATCTTTCCCTTCATCTTTCTTTTCTCCCATTTCAAATTCTCTCCTATGGCTCGAGCTGGAATCCTATTCCTTGGTGCCTTGCACAAATGTTCTTGTGCATTTGTGAGATTTTATGATGCATGAAGGCAGGTTATTTGAATCTGGGAAAGAGCCACAATAAGACTTGATCCTGTTCTGGTTCAGAGCCAATACGATTACCTACTCACAAGTTTGATGTATAGTGATTAGGAATATGAATACCTGCGGGTTCCCCTCCTGATAGTAAGGGTTATTGTCGGACAACCAACTGAGAATAGTCCAGAAATTGTATCAGGAACCTTCCTGTTCAATCATTAGCTATTTAATGCATTCTAGTTGTTTTTTGACAATAAAATTGATACATCTTCAGTGTAAGATGGACTGAAGCTTTTGTTTAATAGGTTGTATTTTAAAATTTGTATTATTCTCATTATTACATAGCAATGTTAAGCCCTAATATCTCTAATCAGCACTCACATTGGTAATCAATGGAACTCCAACATAAAACTTTTACTATAAATTATGGCTTTTAAAGTCTTTCAAATGATACTTTTCGTAAATAGATGGAAACTTAGCTAATGGCTGCCAGACATCTCCTAAAAAAGAAGCTGGCAAATTGTGTGCAGAATTCAGATGGCTCAAAATAGAACAGTAACTTATAGATTGGTGAAGCATCCACTTTTTTTCTCCTGTGAGTCAGGGCTGTCTGACATCTGACTAAAGAAGGCACATTTCCTGTAGATTAAAGTAGGATGTAAATTGCTGAATCATATTAGGTGCTGACATTTTCCAAACCTAACCAAGTGATTTCTTGCTAAATCTTCTTGTGTGAGCATGAGTGGCTCAGTGGTTAGCACTGCTGCCTCACGGCACCAAGGACCCAGGTTCAAATTCCACTCTTGGAGAACTGTCTTTGTGGAGTTTGCACGTTCTCCCTGTGTCCGTGTGGGTTTGCTCTGAATTCCGCCCACAGTGCAAAGATGTACGGGTTATGTGGATTGTAGTGTTCAGGGATGTGTAGGTTAGGTGCGTTAGACATCGGGAAATGCAGGGTTATGCGGTGGGACTGGGTGACATGTTCTTCAAAGGGTCAGTATGGGCTGAATGGCCTGCTTCCACACTGTGGGGATTCTATTATCTTATTACAAAGAGACTCTGAACACCGAGCAAGTTAAGTAGAATGATGCATTGCATGCACTTTTGTCTTTTTATAGATTAGTTGAATTGTATTAATATCATCAGCATGTTATATTTATTAATCATTCGTCATCAGACGTCATTGTTTTCATCAATGAAATTTCATTAAGGAACATGGTATCCAAAATTTAAAAAGACTGCTTACAAGCTAACAGTAAAACAGTATTTAAAGAGACGAGCACTAAATTTGGGACAGGCAGAGAGAAGCACAAGGATCACATCAGGCAGCAAGAAGAATAAGAGTCTATACAAGCATATAGAAGGTTAATAATCAATACGGCATATGAACAAGAAGAAGAATAGAAGGAAAATGAAAAGATTAATTTCTCCCCTGGATTCAGTTACATTAATTTTCTGATGCCTCATTTTGAACATATGACTGTGATGTGAACACCCTTAAAATCTGTTAACTTGGTTTTGATTTTCAGCAGATAGTAGACATTCAGTTGGTGATTAACAGGCCATGTCATCTGCTACTTTAATAGTTGTGCCCCAGTTACAACCTGATTGGAAAGTTATAAATCTGATGGCTCCTTTGTAGTGTTCAGCTGGCAGTTGCCACTTGAAGGAGAGAGGATCACAAAAAGAGAGCCAATGTAATTTTTCTTAGGCTATGACAAATGAATTATCATGACTATTTCTAAAATAGCCTACAGTGGTCTTTTTAAGCACCACTCGTTACTCAGTATCTCATCCTCATGGATGGAGGATGTGTGGAACACATTGTGCACTATGGAATCTGAAGTTGTATTAGGATCTTATAGTGTCATAGCCTGATGTGCATGCTGGAATGACATATCCACCTGTTTCAATTGATGCTGTGGAGTTCCATTTCCAGAACAAGTCGGCAATAACAGCAGGCAGATTTGAAACTAAGCATTAAGTTCTAAATGTATTTTTCACCAGACTTATGCATATGAGCTTTGAATTTATTAATATCTGACTTAGTAGCATAATGAACAATAATCCAGAGGCTTGATCTAATGATCTAGACACAATTAGTAGCAAAGCAGTTGAGGAGTATAAATTCAATTAAATAAATAAATCTGGAATTGAAAAGCTAATGTCTTTGATGTTGATCATGAAACTATATTGTTACCGCAAAAGACATATTTTGTCCTTATCCAGTCTGTCATATGTGACTCCAGACTTGCCACAATGTGTCATAGAGTCATAGATTCATACAACACGGAAACAGACCTTTTGGTCCAACCAGTCCATGCCGAACATAATCCCAAAGTAAAGTAGTCCCACCTGCCTGCTCCTGGCCCATATCCCTCCAAACTGTTCCTATTCATGTATCTATCCAAATGTCTTTTAAACATTATAATTGTACCCGCATCCACCACTTCCTCAGGTGAACCACCCTCTGTGTAAAAAAACTTGCCTCTTGTCTTTTTTAAATTGTTCTCCTCTCACCTTAAAAATCTGATTCCCAGTGTTGAAATTCCCCCATCTTAGGGGGCAAAAACCAACTACCATTAATTCTATCTATACCTCTCATGATTTTATAAACTTCTATCAGGTCAACTTTCAACCTCCTATGCTCCAGTGAAAAAAGTCCCAGCCTATCCAGCCTTTCTTTATAACTCAAACCTTCCATACCCGGCAACATCCTGGTAAATCTCTTCTGAACCTCCTCCACCTTGATAATATCCTTCCTATAACTGGGCGACCAGAAATGGACATAGTATTCCAGAAGAGGCCTCACCAATGTCCTGTAGAATCACAACATGATTTCCCAACTCCTGTACTCAAAGGACTAAGCAATAAAGGCAAGCGTGCCAAATGCCTTTTTAACCATCCTGTCTATATGTGATGCAAACTTCAAAGAATTATGTACCTGCACCTCTAGGTCCCTCTGTTCTACAACACTACCCAAGTCCCTACCATTAATTGTATAAGCCCTAAGCCCTACCCCTTGTTTGTTGTACCAAAATGCAATACCTCGTGTTTATCCAGATTGAACTCCATCTGCCATTTTTCAGCCGATTTACCCATTTGATCAAGATTGCTCTGTAATCTTAGAAAACCTTCTTCACTGTCTACTATGCCACCAATTTTGATGTCGTCTACAAACTTACTAACTCTGCCTTCTGTATTCTCATCCAAATCATTTATATAAATGCCCACGATGTCCACTTTGGTTATGGGAGCACAGTGGCTCAGTGGTTAGCAGCCTGTGAGTTGAAACCACAGTTAAATTAATCCGAATGAGGTGTTAGAGAAAGAGGTTAATTCCTGTACTGTGTGTAGTGTATAGGAGTTACTTTTGGGTATTGTTAATGGGTTAGTGTTTTGGGCATCTGTAAAGGAGTGTTTTTGGCGTTAATGGGATTATATTTTACTGTGCCTTCAACATCTCTAAAGTTGTGTTATAAGTAAATAATCTGATTTATTCAATTTTATCTTCATTTCTTTTGCTTTACAAACTTCTGGTTTATTGTTCAAACCAAATATGCAACATTGCGTGCCTGTGTTTCAGAGTTGTTTTGACTGCTGTACCGTACTTAGATGCTTTAAAAGAAATAGGGAGGGTGGAAAAAGAGGTGGGGGAGTGGCATTGCTAGTCAGGGCAAGTATAGCAGCTACTGAAAGGCAGTTCGAGAATGATATGTCTACAGAGTCAGTTTGGGTTGAGGTCAGGAACAAGAAAGGAGCAGTCACTTTGTTGGGGGTTTTTTACAGACCCCCTAATAGTTGCAGAGAAGTAGAGGAACGGATTGGGAGGCAGATACTGGAAAGGTGCAGAAGTCACAGGGTTGTAGTCATGCGTGACTTCAACTTTCCAAATATTGATTGGAAACATTTTAGTTGTAATAGTTT